CCCGCCTATCGCCCTGGCGCAGATGGTTCCCTCCCACTAGCGGTAAAAACCCCCGGAAACGGCCGGCCTCTACACTCGGGCGAGAGTGCAGAGCTTCAGCTCAGATGAAGGAAGTTGCCCATAAAATAAAATAAAGATGTAGATAAAAATAATATGTAGGAGAGAGATGAAAAACAAGAGAAACTTGTTGTATATTTTTTCTTATCATTTTGAGCTCAACATACGGATATATATATAGGGTTGGAAAAGACGTTACAAAACTCGTAATTAATTCTGTAACGTTCGTCATAAATTTTGTAACGTTCCCCATAATTATATATCCGTTACACATATTTTTAATTGCATGTTTTAATTATAAAACTTTATTATAATTCATGAAGGCAAAATTGCCTTTTGTTAACAAAATATCTAACAGTCCCCCCCAAAAGATAATATTGACTGAAAACTCAGAAATCAATAAATAAATCAAGAATCATAAAACAAATATAGGTTGGGCAACCTTTCGTATCGTGAATTCGGGATAGGTAGCTTTCGGCTTTGAACCTTTCCTTAGTGAGTTCATCGCCACCTGAGGGACATAATGGACTAGGCCTTGAATTAGGCCCCTTTAATCAGGTATTGATGAAAACACACACAATACGCTTCATCTATTGAGCAAAGCGGGTTGAGCGTTAAAGGCCATGCTCACAATAAACCGACTCATGAGAGTTTCTAGGGGTTAGCCCAGCCCCCCCTAACCGCGGCCATCACGGTTCCTCTCACGTAGGTAAGTCCTCAAAGGGTACTACAGCTGTTTATTTAATACCCCCCACAATACACGCGTTGGACTTATTAAGTGTATGACTCAGCCTAGCCAGCTGTATCATAAGAGCATCGTCATCATAGAGAAGGGGTAGTAGCAAATGCTACATAATGATATATAAATATATCTAGGTCGATGCTCCACACGAGTGTCACTAGTCCAGCTTGTTTCTACCACATTGAACCGACATTGGGACTACGTCTCCAAATAAGGGTTGGGTTGCCGCTGTCAGTGACCTCATCTATGGGCTTAACCCCATCTCCCTCGATGAATCCAGAACCACACTCCTGGATAATCCCTTAGTCAAAGGGTCATCAAGATTCTTTTCACAGACTTTACAAAGTCTAGAATCATAACTTTGCCTAGCAGGCGTTGTATTTATTTATCAAGTTCTTATTTTGTAATTAGTCCATCATATTGTTTGAAATTGACATTAGGTCATGATCTATGATCATAAAAGATCATAGTCTATGTCTGAAGAGATTGACCTTAATATCTGAACATTTCAAACTAATGTGGAACTAAAAATTCTGCAGTTATGCATATGCACATACATGAATGAAATTAATAATATATACATGCAGAGCATAATAGGATTTCGTATCTTAAAATATATTTTCGTATCTTAAAATATATTTCATACTTCATGATTCAAATGCATAAAATTTTTAAATTATTCTATTATAAGAGGCTACAAATTGGTTGCCTACAAAGGAGACCGTCCAAATTTAAATCGGTTGCCTACAAATGAGACCTTCCAAATTTAAATTGGTTGTCTACAAAGGAGACCTTCCAAATTTATGTTGCTATTTTCTAGTACCACCTCTTATACAAATAATAATAATAATAATACCTCTTATACAAATAATAATAATAATAATATTTGTACATACGTGCTTTAAATTTTTCAAGTGCATTCTTGTATAAAACCTTATAATTAATCATGTAACAAATGCAAGTTATCTAAAAAGACATATGAATATTTATTGCAATATTCATCAAAATGCAATAAAAGTGATGAACTTTACATTTGAAGATTTGAAATATAATCCATCATATAAAATAGAATTTTTAAAAAAATGCACCACTTTGATTTGGTTCGCTCATATATTGATCATTTATCATTAGACAATATATGATGCAAGAAGCGTAATTAAATAAATGCATATGAATTTTTCTCATAATTCCGGTCCTCTTATTCCAAACCAAAAACTCCTAAAGTGAAAAGATTAAAGTTTTACCCGGGTAGTTAGCCAGGTAAGGATAGTAATAGAGGTTGATCAAAGATCAATTAAGTACCTCGTTCCTTGCAGAGCGCGTTACGCAACCCTTAAACCTTGCCTTAGACACCAACTAATCCAAGAAAACTTGAATCGGTTCACTCAATGAGTTTTTGTTCCTTAACAAGAAACTTTAAAATATTTCCTATTGATGTTTGAACCTCATGATTTTCATGTCTTGAGAGTAAAAACCCATCTGCTACAGACAACTACCACATAAGTTGCTGAACAAAATTGCATTCACTTTTACCACCTTCTGTACTAAGCTTATTAGATGCATAAACACTCCAAAGTATGGAATTATTAATAGAAGGCACCATATTGATAGATTAAAGAAATGAAGGCATTAAACCATGAAAAAATTTAAATACTTCAAAGCATATATATATCCAGATTTGTTCACTTGTCAAAACCATGTATATGGGACTTTCAATAATAAATATGTACACTGCTGCAAATTTTTTTTATTTTTTTATTTTTTAAATCGGATGAACAGTGCTGTCTCGAATGAACAGTAACTTTAAAAATTATTTTTCCGGATTTAAATCGAAAGCTATAAACATTTCAATCTTCTAGATTGTTGGAAATTTATCAAATAATTAAGATTATAGCATGTAGATAAATCCGAAAAATTAAACAATTAAAACTGGCCTGATCGGGAGCAGTTGTGTATTCACTGCCCTAGAAGATTGAGAACCCGCCTATCGCCCTGGCGCAGATGGTTCCCTCCCACTAGCGGTAAAAACCCCCGGAAACGGCCGGCCTCTACACTCGGGCGAGAGTGCAGAGCTTCAGCTCAGATGAAGGAAGTTGCCCATAAAATAAAATAAAGATGTAGATAAAAATAATATGTAGGGGAGAGAAGAAAAACAAGAGAAACTTGTTGTATATTTTTTCTTATCATTTTGAGCTTAACATACGGATATATATATAGGGTTGGAAAAGACGTTACAAAACTCGTAATTAATTCTGTAACGTTCGTCATAAATTTTGTAACGTTCCCCATAATTATATATCTGTTACACATATTTTTAATTGCATGTTTTAATTATAAAACTTTATTATAATTCATGAAGGCAAAATTGCCTTTTGTTAACAAAATATCTAACATATTCTACATTGAGCACTAGGGAGCACAAGAAAAAATAGATCATAAAAACAATTGCATGTGGCTGATGCAACAACAATTAGAAAAACCTGTTTATTTAACACTTGCTTTAGTCATCCTTTATTGCGATCTTCCCCCCTTCTCACTATTTGTCATATAGACTATATAACAAACAATGAGTATCATATCACCCACTAATATTTGTAATAGTTGATCCTGTTCTGTGGTGAAAATACTGGACTTATACATAAAGCTCATGTAGATCCATTGTTTACTTAAATCAGTAGTTTAGTGAGACATAAAATCTTCTCAATGTTCTTAAGAATGAAGCGAGTCTTGAAGTTTTTCCCCATTCTGTTATATGCAAGTTGTCATATGTTTCATGCTATTTTGAGGATTTCAAAATTTTTTCTAGGGACTCACATCTCTTTTTTTCGAATATAGATGCATGTATGATCTATAACAACGACAACAACAAAAACAACTAAAAATCATGTGAGTTGAGGTTCTCATGTGTGTATCAATGCATAAAAACCTTTTAATTGTATGAGTTCATCGGATATGTGTTGTGGTTGTTTAAAATTTCTTGGTTGATCATGATATAGAGAACATACTAGTTTAAGAAAATGAATGAGTTTTTTCAAATGAAATAAGAAATATATAAGTACACAATAGAAATGTATATACACAAAACGAATAAGGAATAAGAAATAATTACGCATACGAGGAAGACATTTAAGATTGAAAAACACTATAAGGCCATATAATATGATGAGCAATGGTTAAACATGTTAAATTTTTTAAATGAAACTTACTTATATGCTTGCTACCTATGCAAAGCGAAGTTAGAATTTCGGGGTACGTCCACCAACATTCATATCTATTCCTCTATAATAATGGGAGAATCCAAGATTCACTATTCATACTACAGTGAATACTGTAGTAAATTACTGTAACGGTATTACTGCAGCGCAAACAAGATCATCTAAGAGTCACAATTCATGCTACAATAAATTATTGTAGCACAGATGAGGACTGTAAGTGTTTTAAAACATTATTGTAACTCAGACCTGTAAGTGTTTAAAAACATTATTGTAACTCAGACAAGATACTATAACATCTGAAAAATGTTACTATAGCACTTACAAATATTGTATTTAAATACAGAATTACTGTAGCAAAAATAAAAAAAATGGAGGTTGTTCTTTGCACGGGGTGCACACTAATTTTCCATTTATTCCAAGAACTCCATCCACTAGAGAGTTATAAACAAGGACAAATTTTTAAAAGGAACTTTTTTTCAATTTTATATAGCAAAAACAACCTCATGAGAAAATAATCTGCAAAACCGACAATTTTCTTCGAAAAAATGATCGGTTTTGCAGTCGTGAAGTTTTTCGAGCTACATGGGACTTCTAGTCCCGTGCAGTTTGGCCAGCAATTGAAAATGCACGGGACTGCTAGTCCCGTGCTTCTTCTTTTACAATTGATCCTGAGAGAAGAATGAAATGCACGGGACTGCTAGTCCCGTGCATTTCAATTGCTAGCCGAACTACATGGGACTAGCAGTCCCGTGTAGCTCGAAAAACTCCGTGACTGTAAAACCGATCCTTTTCCGAAGAAAATGATCAATTTTGCAAATTATTTTCTCACGATGACGTTTTTGCTATATAAAATTGAAAAAAAAAGATCCTTTTAAAATTTTCTCCACAAAAAAGGGGGAAATATAATAAAAATTCTCCGTATCTTTTTTTTTTCTCTCCTGTCTGTCCCTGTCTCTA